GATTAGGTTTATTCTATGAATGCGCAATGTTATTACCATCTTATTGAAAGTAAGCCCTACCTGGATCTTCATTTAAATCTGAAGCATCGACCAACTTCATTCTTGGGTAATAAGGTTTCGAGAAAATCCAACCCATGTGAGAAAACCAAAATCCTTTGGCAGCAGAGTAAGGATCGTGATCAGTGTCGGTGAACCTGTGATGTAACCTGTGCCTAAGCACCCACCACTTTATAGAGCCTTGGAAAGCAAGAGTGCCCCAAATTCCAAGCGCGAAACGAAGTGGTATGCGAGCTGTAAATGCTCGATGACTCCACAGACGATGGTATCCTACAGTTATACTTTTATAAAAGGATTGATAAATTTTACCGAGTCGATGCGCGCGAAATGGTACGGAATAAAAGAAAAAACATACCCGAAAGTACCCAATTGAAACAAGATCGCAGACAACCAAATAGTTTTCGCTGCGGGCGTGTGCGCTATCATAGCATATGCGGCCACAATGTGCATGACGACTACGAACACAGCATTCGCATACCATGCCTCAGCCTCTTTGTTCGTCTCTTTCTTTGAAATGGTTTGTTGCTGACTGACGAGGGACGCAAGTGTCTTTGTAGCAGCCATGATGTGAGTTATTGGAGTTATTGGAGTTGTTACTTTCGATATCGTAAATGATGGGGAGAATTAGGTCTTTGGTCGTTTCTCACGAATAGGAAGGAGATTCTTAACTGAGACGTTACAAACGTCTAGTTATTTTATCCGTGTTATGTGTTAAAGATTTTTTCAGAGGTCAGAAAAAAGGGTTCTTATATACGACAAAAGAATATAGGACGAGGGCGCATCCATTATACATATTAAAATAAGTGCAGTTGTAGTTCGATATTAAAATATTTCACATTAAGAAGTTATGCAACCCGCCCCTTCATGAAAAACGCGCGTATCGTATGTTGATCGTCAGCATGTCATTATCAGCATGCAAATACAATGGCATTTTACTTTTTTAATCCCTCGGAAAGAACATTCATAATATACGCACTTCACATTCACAATCACTGGCTTAACTGTCAGATAATATCATACCACGGAGAGATTATCACGTGTACTGCTGAAAGATTGGTTTTTACGCAAAAAGCATATGACAAACAATTCGTATTTACATCCACGAAAGTAGTTGAAATGAATTACATAAATGGTATTTGTTACGTAACGCAACCTGGATCTTCTAAAAACAGATCAGCTATCCAACGCATCGATTCAGAGTTCAAAGAGAGAATTCAGATAATGCGTAATTGAAAAAGACAACAAAAACGAATCTCTTCAAAGGTCAGATGAACGCCGTCGAGTTCTTCAACATTTTTACACCTACATTAAAAAAATTCGATTCTCTAAAGCAGTAGTAGTATTTAATCTCTCCGCAATCTCCCCCCAGAATTCACAATGTGAACCAATCATACATAGTTGCTTTGGTAATGAATACGTAAATGCAATTATTGTATGTGATCCTGTACCCGAGGCATAAAAAATGGCATGAGAACATATGAACGTATAGAAGACAGAAAATTTGTTCTTTCATTCTTATCACGTATATAATAGATAATGTGTGAACTTCCGTCAATTATTTCCAATAGTAAATTAATAGAAAGACGTGTAGGTTGGTTAATACACCAACTCCATTCAATCCCTTAAATTTTGTGGATCCTTTTTCTAATTACACCGTGGTTTATTTTTCACATGTCAACGATAATCCCTTTCACCTATGAGCATCAGCGCCCCAATCGAACTCAACTTTTGGGTTGTTTGACCGTTGGCGCCATCCCTCAAGATATCATGAATCGTATTATTACAAATTGTTTGGTTATAACCGTGCAAACCTAATCATGATTCGTATCACTTTATCGATTAATTTTAATCCCATTTTTATCTTAAGAAAAACAACAAAATACCTTGTTTGTTGTCGAAATAATCCTTAAATTAAAATCTTATCACAGCATTGCTAAAAAAAACTGATAACTGGTGATTTAAGATTCATGAAAAGATGCTATTATATGCTGCAATAATACGGCATGTGAAAAATGTTGTCATTAACATTTTTATTTGGTTTTAACTCTCTTTGTTATTTTAAAGACATACTGCGCATCCTGCTGTAATAAAAAACTTGTATAAACTTTCATTTTATAATAGCATTTTTTTCAACAATAAAATCTTTAAATATTATAGTTTTTTAAAGATAAATTGTTTATTAATAAGAATTCGTAAATTTCATGTTTAATAAAAAGTTTAATTTAATTTATTATTTGTTAATATAAATAAAATTAAAAAACTATGTTAATATTACATAGTTCAAAACCTAAATAAAACTTCAAACTCAAAACATTTCAACTTACAGATATATACGTAGCTAGGAGGTACAAATATTAAATCAAATTAAATTATTAAATAATAATTATTATTATTATAGTAATTTTTAAATAATTTAAATCAAGTTTACTTAAATTGCAATTTTAGAATAAATATTATAATTATTTAATAATATAATATAATTTTTTAGATTTAATATACATATTAAAAATATATTGAAATTAATATTATAACAATATATAATAAGACTTTTTAATTTATTTGTTTATTATTGTTGTTATTTTATCACAAAAAGATATTAAATATTTATAATAATATTGTATTATTGTATTTTTCTTAAAGATTAATAAACTATCATAGCATATAGTAAAAGTAAAAGTAAAAGAAATATATATATTAAATATAAAATTTTATTAAAATTTAAAATTTAAAATCATTAATATTAATAATTTTTATATTGAAAATAAATTAATTGTTGTTTGATTTTTTTTTATTAATTGATTGAAACTTATTTAACATATTTTATTTTATTTGTATTTGTATTTTTTATATAAAAATTATTATTTATAAACTTTTTAAAATACATATATTAAATTATATTAAAAAATTTTTTTTTTGAAAAACCAAGTAATTCTTATACTTTATTTTTATTATAATTTTAGACTTATTATTATGATCCTGAAAATTGAAATTAAATAGACTTGTATAAACTTATATAAAATTTAGAACACCATTAAAAATAATAATAAATTATAATTTATACAGTATATTAAATTTAATATAAATCTGAAAATCAAAAATTAAATTAAATTAAATTGTTGGAATTCTTACTTATGATTATAAATATTATAATTCTTAATATAATATATATCTCTTTTGCTAAGAAGAGTTTAATATTAGACTTACAATTGTAATTATTTTCCTATACTTTTTAATACTATTTAAAATATAAAAAAAAATATTTAAAGACCTGTGGGTCCATAGTGTAGTGGTTAACACTCCACAGGTCAGATCACAAGATACCAGTTCAACTCCAGGTGA